CAGATTAAGTCCCATTGATTGGCCTAACTAACATAAATGTACTAGCAATGGTAAGCATTAAATATTTAAATAAACATATCCACCCTTTTTGTGTGTAGATTTGTAAAATATTAAGAATTACTGAGTTGTACATCTTAAAAAGATGGATTTCATGATATGTAAATTATATATTTTAAATGTTGGTATAAAAAATGAGGGGATCTGATGGATACTATCATAACCAAATGACCAGACTCAGTATCACTAATAAGGAGGAACAATGACCTGTTGGGCTTCCCGGTGGGATGAAATGAGAACTGTGCCACAGCACATGTGGAGTTTTTTTGGTCAGAAATAAAACATTATCCAGTCTTAAGGGGATAGTCAGAATATTTCTGACAACTAGCCTTGACTCTTAAAAATAATGTCAATGCCATGAAGGACCACTCAAGACTGGGAGATTGTCCTGGTTTAAAGGAAAGTAAATTCAATCAATGATTTCAGTTTGGACTTTGATATTACTGGGACTCTTCAATATGGACTGTAAACTAGATAATATTCTTGTACTGATGTTAAATTTGATGGTAGTCATGATACAGTTATGATATAGAATAATGTTCTTGTCCTTAGGGTATACAGGCTGAATATTTAGGGGTACATTTGTGTACACACACATTTTAAGAAAAAATTTTTAAGAGATTTTATTCATTTGAGAGAGAGAGAGAGAGAGAGGGAGGGAGGGAATGCACAACCAGGGGGAGAGGGAGAAGCAGACTTCCCACTGAGCTGGGAGCCCGACATGTGGGGCTCGATCCCAGGACCTGGAGATCATGACCTGAGCTGAAGGCAGACACTTAACCATCTAAGTCACCCAGGCACCCCAGAAAATAAATTTTTAATAGGAGAGAAATGAATGTGGCAAAATAGTAATTGCTGAACCGCGTGAACGGTACATATATGTTTATTTTACTAGTCTTTCAGTTCTTCTGTGAATTTGGTAAAATGTACAGTGTTGAGGTAGAGGGAAAAAAAATCATTATGAGGAATTTCAGGTGAACCTGAAAATGACAAAGGATAAAAATAAATTGTGCACTCCATATTTGACTTTCTATACATTATGGTATTTACTGATTGATTTATCATACTAAAATATTCATAGTTTGTGCATGACGGTCGTATCTAAAGCGGTGGGAGATAGAGAGCAGCCAGAGTTTTCCTTAGCCTCTCAGTTTGCATTGTCCCCTAGGGTACAGCAGTACCTTTTGTTTCCATACACAACTGCAAACTTTCCACCTCTGTGAGAATTTTCATGTGTCCAACAGGAGAATTTATGTCGATTTTATAAGTGTTGGTTATTGTTTACTTAGGAAAACATCTGAAATAAAATATTTCTCCCTTAGAATCCAGGAGAATATTTATAGCTTCCAAAAAAAGGCTTTTATTTAAACCAGCTTCTAATAGGAACTTTTATAATTTAACATTATTTGAACAGCTATAAGTATTAAAATGCATGCTGTTTAATAAGATAATTGATAAAAAATGTTTGTAAGTGCTTACATCCATCATCATATATATGACTCTATCCCAACTTGGTAACTTTGAGCATATGTGCAGCAAGACAGATCTTGAATGGAAGCTAACCATTCTCACGCAGTGCCCAAGAGCATAGCTTTGCTTCAAGTATATTGAACTTGAACTTGGGCTCTCTATTTCCTAATTGTGTGACTTTAAACAATTGTTGACTTTTTCTGGACCTTGCTCTTGTAACTGAAGTCTGAGAGAGTTAATAATATATATCCTCAAAGACTATTGAGAAGATTTATGTAAATGAAATAATGCATTTTAGATGCCCAGAACAATAGCTGCCACAAATAGTTCAAGCCCATTTCTATCACCACCAACATCTGCATCATATCAACTCTGTTGCCAGGAATGTCCATCCTTGTTTTTGCCCATTGGAACTCTTCTAAATCACTTGTGCTTCCAGATTGCTATTTAAATCTCCAAATGGAACTGAAACCCATAATGTCAGAGTCACTTTACTGTTACTGTACAGTGTTATAGTCATTTTACTGTTACTGTAATTTTGAGTATTTTTAGAGTAAATTCACTACCACTAATGGTTCCTGGCTATATGGATTGGTATAGAGGATCCATAAATAATACCATTATTCTCTGATAAGGTGCCCTATTTTCCCAGAAATATTTTTGTTAAATGTAGCATATTAATATTGTTGAAAATCCCTTTTCTGTTTTAATGTATTTTTAATAATAATGATATTAATGTATAAAGTGCCCATATTCCCATGCTGTGCAAGTTGTATAATTTCTTTATCATGTGCTCCATAGAAGAATGTAGTCAAATGAATTTTGTATATGTTGGTCACTCTTTACTCTGAGGAATATCTGAAATCAGTGTTATCATCTGCAACAAACTAGTTTTATAAGAGGAAAAATTACAATATTCACATTTCATTCTCCAAATGGATTTTAGTTCAACCTTATTTTCTTTAGTTCTGTATTTTCTTTAGTTCTGATACTTCTTTAAGCAGTATCATTCATTTGGTTCATTTGGTTGTTGTCTTGGGTAGGGGTTGTTCACAAGCAGACTTTTAGACGAAGATTCATGGATATGTGGTTTATTAAGGAAGGATTGCCAGGAAAAAACAAGGTAGGGGAAGCAGAACACAGAATCAGTCATCCCAAATAAAATGAAATTTGAGTCAGAGTCCCAACCTCAGCTTGATCTCATGGGATCCTCTGGAGATGAAGTTACACCACAGAGTTTTTGTCCTATTTGAAGCAAAGAACCTGTTCTTTTAAACTCCTGCCCCACACAGGCATCGGCTATGGCATTACCCAGGGTACCTTAAACTCCCAAGGCAATTGAAGCTTTCAGCAGCTCTAGCAATCCAACACTGGTTCTTAAAGGTTACAGTTACCCCACCATGCCCACCCAGAGGGTGGGAGCCCAGCACAAAGAAATTACATCCTAGGAGATAAGGACATAAGGGCAGGAGCAGCCACACCATTTGCTTGAGGGATCTTTTTTCCTTTCTGTTTTTTCTCTTCCTATAATCACTGTTAAAGCAGAAAGCATTTTTGGTTCTAAGATAACAATGATGATGGTATCTATGGATAAACTATGTTATTTAATCTGAAAAATATTAGACAGTTGGGCAGTTAATGGAATTTTGATTGATCACTATGTGTAGCATAAATACATAAGATATAGAAGTAATGATTCATGCTATCAAGGAATTTTAAATTTCACTTTAAGAAGGGCATCCTATAGAAAAAGACAATTATAATATAGAACTACAATTTAATCCTGACTAGGGCAATCTGATACATGTGTTTAGGATGATGGAATAGAATGATCAGGGTTGGTCACGCAAGACAATGTTGAATATATATAGTTTGCATAATATTTTAACGCACGTCGGTAGGTAAAGAGAAAAACATAATGCATTCCTTATGAGAAAATATGCAGAACTGAGGTGAAAATCAATTCATTTACATATAACATGTTTACTTTAATGTTCCTGACAGCTCATTATATTTCAGCTCAAAGTTTTTCTTAGTTTCATCCTATTCTATATTTTATTTGTATCAACTTGGATTATAACATGGATTTTGTCATTTCACCTTTTCAGTGACCGTAAACTACATAGAAGGACTAATATGATACATAGATTATTATTATCTTGATAATTACTATAATGCAGAAATTAAGCCAATAATCCAATATTACAGTGGTATAGATATAAAATATAGTACTTCTGGGGCGCCTGGGCAGCTCAGATGGTTGAGCGTCTGCCTTCGGCTCAGGTTGTGGTCCCAGGGTCCTGGGATCGAGTCCCGCATCAGGCTCCCTGCTCAGCGGGGAGCCTGCTTCTCCCTCTGCCTCTCTCTCTGTCTCTGATGAATAAATAAAATCTTTAAAAATAAATAAATAAATAAATAAATAAATAAATACAGTACTTCTGTTAAAAGATCAGTTGGGGGGTGCCTGATTGGCTCCAATCAGTAGAGTGTGTGACTTTTAATCTCAGGGTTGTGAGTTCCAGCCCCCTGTTGGGTGAGGAACCTACTTTAAAAAAAGTTGGGCAAGGACAGAGTTGTCACATAAATTGGACAGGCCCAATATAATCTTAGAGTATTTTGTGGTTCTTATTAATAAGAAAGTTCACAATGCTTTTATAAAATAGTTTAATAGTGTGTAGGTTGTGGAAGGGATTAATACTCTAGTGGTTGAATAACTTTTATAGCATTGTTTTCAGTTCTCAGATACATTTAAAGGACAAACAAAATAAAAGATCATCTGAAGAAGGCAGATGGTATGTGAAATTTCTGGAGACCTTGTAGTTGAAAGAAACCTTGAATGTTCTAAATGTTTTCAATTTGAAGAAGAGAAAGCTTAGAGAAGATACAATGACTGTTTTTCAGTATTTGAAGGACTGTAACAGGGCTCAGATCATAGATTTTGTTCTCTGTTGCCCTGAAACAGAATGTCTGAAGTTAGAGCTCTCCAAATATGAAATGGGTTGTCTCTGAGGCATGAGTGTCACTCTGGTAGTGTCTCCCTAGTAGTGTCAGCTGAGGCTAGATACTGTTCGTCAGGGATCCTACAAAAGAAGAAGGTGAGTAAATTCACTCTCAGGCTCCTTCAGTTCTAAAATTTCCTGAATCTGTTTGTGAACCTGATGATTACAAGCAGTGTTCTAGAGCACACTTAACAGTGAAATTAACCATCTCTGTTAAAAGCTTTAGAAGTAAATCGTCTTAAACCATTACAGTAGTTTCAGTAGGTGGTTAAGAAAAACAAAGCAGGTGGAAAGAAAAATGATGAATAATTCATGTCTTGATCATTTAAGCCATCTTGGGTACTTAAAAAATATTTCATTGTATTTACTGCATCTAACAATTTTATTTTATTGAAATGCAATGTTTTCACTTTTAGGTTTTTGCTTCCAGTTACTGCAACAGCAGAAAACTGTCTTCTTACCATTTACCCATATATGGCAACTCATCTTGATAAGCAAACAATTATTTTAAAGGATGGTAAGTTAGATATGACAGTTGTCTCCTATTCTCACCGTATATGTTCTTGTTATCCAAGGTCGACGCCTGGAAATAATGTGACTTTAAAATTAACAGATGTGGGGTGCCTGGGTGGCTCAGTCAGTTAAGTGTCTGCCTTCTGCTCAGGTCATGATCCAGGGTCCCGGGATGGAGCCCTGTGTTGGGCTTCCTGCTCAGTGGGGAGCCTGCTTCTCCTTCTCCCTCTACAGCTCCCCCTGCTTGTGCTTGCACTCGCACGCTCTCTCTCTGTCAAATAAATAAAATCTTTAAAAAAAATTAATAGATATTTATTAAACTCCCACCATTTCTAGGAGCTGTATTTAGCCTTGAGAGCAGAATATGGCTGTGTCTTTAATTGCAAAAGCTGAAAATCTAGTAAAAGACACAAATAAATAAATACAAAGAAGATTGAAGTAAGAGCCAATTGTAGTGTTGGAAATGTGGGTGTGGTGCAGAGGCTAATGCTGACTTTGGGGGTCTGGGATAACTTTATAGAAGAAATGATATCTGTGTAGAGTTTGACAGATGATCTTGAACAGCATAATCTGGGCAAAGGGCCATGTAGCAAAAGCATGGGGGTCTGAAGGGCTGCACCCTTTATTCTGGAATAGTGGGAACCTTCTGTGATTTCTGAGTATCAGTGACTTAGAAAGGGAACAATTGTTGGGATGAGAGTTGAATTAAAATGGGAAAGACAGAGGTCAGCAGGCCAGCTGGGAGTTGCTGCAGGGGAAATGGTGAGAGACTGAGAACGACCGAAGAGAAGCTCCTGAGCTGAGAAATTTGCAATGCAAGACACAGAGGCGAATGATTGTTTGTAGCCAGTTTTCTCCTATTCTCCACTTTTTCAAATGTTTGCCATTCCTATGAAATCTATTCAGTCCTGTTCTGCCTCAGTCTCAGGGCATGACCTTGTCTCTAACTTTCCAGAAGAAATAGAGACCATCAGGCAGGAATACTCTGAACTTCCAAATACCAAGCATGCATTGGAACCCATCGTCTCTCCTGTCACAAAGCTGTGAGAGGCAAGACTCTCTCCTTCCTGATTTAGGCCATTCTTCCATCTGAATCCCTTCATCCAGAGACCTTGCTTAATCAGCTAACCTTGCTTACTCTTGCTCTTCAAATCATGCTGCTCTTAGCTGCTTTGGGGGCCTGTGCAGGATGACAACAGGGAAGAAAGAGGAGACTATATCCTCTCAGTGGATAGGCTCGTTCCCGAAGAGAAAAAAGTTGAATCCAGGCCTTGCGTTCCTGATTTAATCTTGGCAAATTTACCAGTCAGATAAACCACTTGATTTCCCAGACAGGGGGAGAAAAATAGCAAAGGAAACTAAATAATTAGAGCACCATAGCTTCCTTTAACAGGAAGGACATGTCAGGGGTGAGGCAGAACATTCTGCCATTATACTGCTGTTACCCCGCAACTGAGCAGCAGCTTACACTGTTGATCACCTCACCCCTCATCCCCAACGTCTCCTCAGACTCCCTCTGGACTTCCACATACTGTACTTCCCTGGGGTCCTTCTCACCTCTCTGACTGTTCCTTCTGAGCACATATATATATTACAAATTTATACACATTCTCAAAATTTAAAAGATTTTCTGACTGATCTTGATGTTATATTTTTGTATTCTTCTAAAATACTTGGGAAGGGGGCAGATTTCAGATAATACAACATAACAGAAAGAGCAGTGGATGAGTATCACAGAACCTGGGTGGAAATCCTATTTTGTGTCTAATCTCACCATCTTGCCATATGCTTTTACCATTAATTCTCAGATCCTCAAACGTCTGTTTTTTAACAAAATGTGCATGGTAGGAGAATAATAGGATGCTAACAATATCCATTTCAAAAGGCTTTTGTGAGGACTCATGGAGTAAATACCTGGGAATTATTATTATTACTATTATCATCATTTTATTATTGCTATCATAACTGCTATTATTATTATTACTTTAACACTCTTGTATTTTTCACAATGTCCTCCAAAAAAATAATGAGGAGTTACTGTATAAAATATTGCTATTTCTTTAAAACCTAAATATGAATAGAATCTTAGTGCTTGTATGATGATTGAGTATGAAATCTGCAGATTAAAAATAATGCATCCATTTCAGTAAATATTACTATAGAAAGACATGATTTTTAAATATTTTAAAATATCTTTAGAAATATGTACAGTAAAATTTATAATATATATTTAATGCTTCCCAGGCATAGGGTGCTCTGCTAAGTGCCTTATATTTGTTATTTCGTTTAGTGCCCCCAACAACTGAGTGTGATACTCTTATTAATTTCACTTTACAGATTAACAAACTGAGTCATAAAGAGTTTGAGCAGCTTGCCCCAGGGAATTCTAACCAAATTTGTAATACCTCAGAGCCTACACACTTAGCTACTGTGCTCTAGAGTGTGATATGTTCAGTAAAGGTGAAATCTTAAAACACATTAAGTATTTCAAAAAGTAAAGCAGTATGATTTACTTGTTCGAGCTAATATGCTGAATATAAACTATTATATGAATCATTGCCTTTAGTTGAAGAGTACAGATGTGGGTTTGCACCCCACTAGGAACTTTTTACTATTTGATGGTAAGTTGAAAAGATAGTGCCTAATGCATCCACAATGAATCATTCTATCATTGAATTTTCTAAGGCTCATTTTTATGAAGTCTCTAGTGGTGTAGCGTTGCAGAGATAAGCACATTCTCTGGTAAATTCTGAAACAATGGAAGGAACCTAGTATGTGGCAGCTTACCTATCTGTGTTATTGCCTGTAAAGTAACCCTTACAACAGATTCATGAGCTCAGAACCTTTGGCGTCATTTCATGGATAAAAACATGTTTCAGAGAACTTATATAACATCCCAGCTGTTTAATAGCTCAGGAGTTGTAGTGCCAAGATTTCAAATCAGAAATTCCTAACTGCAAAGGCTATGCTTTTCTGACAATTACATTATGCATATATGTATGTGCATATACATATACATATGTGTGAATAGATAGAAAATAGATGATAGGTAGATGATAGATAAATAGATAATCTGGCCTTCGTTCACATATACTGCCTTTTCTTTCTTTCTTTCTTTCTTCTTTTATTATTATTTTTTTATTATGTTCAGTTAGCCACTGTATAGTACATCATTAGTTTTTGATGTAGTGTTCAATGATTCATTAGTTGCATATAACACCCAGTGCTCATCACAACATGAGCCCTCCTCCATACCCATCATGCAGTTACCCCATCTCCCCACTCCCTTCCCCTCTGAAACCCTCAGTTTGTTTCCCGGAGTCCATAGTCTCTTATGGCTCGTCTCCCTCTGTGATTTCTCCCTCTTCAGTTTTCCCTCCCTTCCCCTATGGTCCTCTGTGCTATTGCTTATGTTCCACATATGAGTGAAACCATAGATAATTGTCTTTCTCTGCTTGACTTACTTCACTTGGCATAATCCCCTCCAGTCCCATCCATGTTGATGCAAGTGGTGGGTATTCATCCTTTCTGATGACTGAGTAATATCCCATTCACACATACTGCCTTTTCTTAACATTGCCTTTGGTTGGGTTCAGATTACCATGGTGGCAAATTCTAGTGTATATGCAGACACCTCTAACTGGAATAGAGATTGAAAGCCGTGCAAAATGGTGTCAACTCATAACCAAGCAGTGATTTCATTTCAGAAAATTAATTAGGAAGAAATTACTTTTGTTAGTGATGCTCTTCTTTTGTTCAATTTTGAGCACCATATAGAATCCAAAAATTTTGGTTGTACAAACATTTAAAATGGTTTACATATCTTTGTTTATCCTAAAGTTGAGCATTGTTCATTCTCCAAAAACTTTGATATGCCAAAATAATGGCCTTGTTGAATAAAAATTCAGTTCAAAAACCATATCAGCTTTTACAGTCTTTTCCTTGACATCTTATTTTAAGTATGGACATTTATACTTTAAAAAATTTTTTTACTCTATGTGTATGTATATACACATATTTATTATATATAATATAGAAAATTATGAAATTCAGATTCAGTAATTTGAGAGTGAGCTCACAAATGCTTGTTGACTTACTGTGTTCCAATGTATCATTTGTAGATAAGGATGACAGTTCTTTGAAGAACAGAGACAATGTTTTGCTTCCCTACCAAGAAGCTGGTTTATCCTCTCCTGCTCCTACTAAATTTAATGATGCTGAGCCTGCAGAGAGAAGATTATTTGTTGGTATGTTGCAAATATATATTGTCCCGAGCAAACCCACTTCTTAACATGATCTGTTTAATATTATTGAATTGAAAACTTGGGCTTCAGGTAAGAAGAAATCCCTGAAGCAAAACATGAATTTTTAATTAGTTTTAAGTGGGTCACCTGCTTTGGGAGCTCTCTCCAATGATGTGGAGCAGAGATTCTCTAATGTTTTTTGTTCACGGTATACTTAGTATCTCAGTATTTTTCCCCTAGGTCAAAAGATGTGCCAAGCGATTCCCTTTATTAAATGTTTTGGTTGAAAAACCTAAGAGTAGTAATTCATATGATATCCAACATATATATTTAACTAAAATGTTAAATATCCTGTAGAGCCCCTCTAAATTTGCCGTGACATCCCAGCTACCCTCTCTACAGTCTGAGAACTGCCAAACTGTGGGTTTGTCTGCCAATTAGTTAGCTGGACCCCGTATTATGTATCTTAGAAAGAGATGACCACAGATAAATAGATAAAGATACAAATTTGGCATTATCATTTGTAATTAACTATTCAAATATTCCTTTCTCTGGATATAGGTAATATTGAAATTTTTCCTGTTTATTGAATGGACCAAACTAAATTAAGTATTGTGAGGTTTTTAAATGACGGTGTGCTTGTGCCATTGCATAGATATTTGTGAAAAAAAAAAAAAAAAACCATTTTGTATCCTTGAAAATTTCTCTACCTTGAAACGTTTTGTTTTATTAAAGTGCTTCACTTGGATAAAGAGTCATTTTGAATATGAAACCAATATTTTGTTTCTATAAGTTTTCCATCTAGGGTTTAATTCCATCTATGAAGTAGAACTGAAGAATGGTCAAAATATTTTACGTGTGTAATTGAAAATGAAACATTCCACTTTGGGGAATGTTTTCACATACCATTATGGCAAGAAGAAAATTTGATGGTTTTCTTTATTGAAATTCTACCATTTTTAAAGTATTTCTGTTAGGTATTTGAAAATAAATCTATTTTCTTGTTTTCAAGATACAGTAAATTGACTCAGAATTTCTTTGAGAACATAGCATAATTTGTAAAATGAGCTTTATTTGTCTGCATACGAATAGCAATAGCTGACAGGATTATTTTACTCTATGGTGATGTAACCTTTTTTTACAAACAAATGTGAATTTTAGGAATTGAAATAATACATGAAAGGCTGAACTCAGGCAAAAGTAAAACATCAAAGAAAGACAATGATAGATCTATGGAAAAGGAGGAGAAAAATGAGCAATGGTTTTCTCCTGAAGAAGGAACAAAGGCATATGTCTTCTTTGAGAAGGTTGTAAATGCTGCTCAGACCTGGTTCAGTCTCTTCGGCTGGCCTGAAGGACCCCATTCTCTTTCTATTCCAGAAACAATAAGAAGGTAACAGCTTTGTGTTTCTCTAAAACTTGCTTTGTATCATATAATAAAATATAGTCTACTCATTGGGGTGGTTTTACGTGAAACACAATGTTAAATGATTTATTCTACGCTCGTAAATTAGGAGGCTACTAAGAAAAGCAAAAGGACGCAAATATAAATTCTTTGGTATAGGTATACTTTTTTAAAAAAAATAAAGATTTATTTATTTGAGAGAGAGGGAGTGCGTGTGCGTGCGTGTGCATGCGTGTGCCTGCGTGCACGCGGGGGGAAGGGCGGAGGGAGAGGATCTCGAACAGACTGGGCTGAGCGCGGAGCCCCACATGGGGCTCCACACGGGGCATGACCCGAGGACCCTGAGATCATGACCTGAGCTGAAACCAAGAGCTTAACTGACTGAACCACAGAGGCTCCCCTGGTATAGGTATATATTTTTTATTTCTTCTAAACACTGTATGATTTGAAGCCAGTATTTAAAATCTCTGAACCTCACTTTCCTCATCTGTCAAATGACGATGGGTAAACTATGGGTAAGAAAAGCCATTTTAAATCTGAAAACTTGGGAAAGTCCACGGGTCCATATAAAGGAACTATCAGCCCTCGATCTGCAGTATGGTCAGGTAGGCAGTACATTTCCTTCCCTCTTTCATGGACTTTTTAGTACTCAGCATATCTAAAGTAGATAAACTGCATTGGTTTATATCAAGTCACTTAATTCTGTTATTAATTTAAATTGGAATTTAGCACCTCCCTTGGTTCACGTTGCTGCTGTAGTGGTTCTCACAGTTCTACCTCCTTTCTCAGATCTTGGGGTGATTTGTTGGCACCATAGGGACGAGTGCTTCATCTCTGTAGTTAGAAGAGCTATAGTAGCATTTTTGCATCTATATTCAGGAGTGAGTTAGGTTATGCTAAATCTGTAGTTTTCCTTTAAGTTATCTTTTTCAGTTTTTTTAGATTAATGGGACAATATCAACTTCATAGAATGAATTAGCTAATATTTCACCTATGCTGGGAGAAAATTAATACAGCAGGTACACTGAAAATTTACAGGCTTGATCATAAAATCATCTGACTCCAGGGAATATTTTTAGAGAAGTTTTTCTGTTAATAACTTTTTAGTTTTCTGCCTTGCTCTTTGTTCTACTGAAAATTGTATCTATTTTGAGTAAATTTTAATGATTTATTTTCATTTTAAGGGAGATCATTGATTGGACATTTAAAATTCATTATCTGACAGTAGTGACTACTAGTATTATTGTTTATATGTTCATAGTCTCTTTCTCATTTATAATTTTTATTTAATTTTTATTATACATACTATACTTTTATGTCTCCTGTGATGAATAAATTTTTGAATTAATGTGTCCATTTCTATGTTTTCTAAATCATTTAATGCTGATTTTTTTCTTTAAAATTCATTTCTTTAAACTTGTATGCTTAATTATTTTTAGGTCTGTACATTTATGTCTTCATTTCATGTTGGATGTATCCCAGAATTTTTGCTATTAGGCATTCTCATTTTTGTTGTTTTTTATAGAGCTTGTGATCTTAATTTTTATTTTCTATATATTTTTACTATAACAGTTGCTAATTTGTTTTATAATACGTTATTGAATTTATGCATCTTTATATACTCACATTCTCATTAACTTGGGCGTATTTAATTATGTTATTTTGTTCTATATTTTCCTAATATAAGCAATGCCAAGATTCAATATATCTGTGTGTAAATAGTAGCAGATATTTCTGGATGTTACATAGGAAGGATTTCAGAGTGGGATCACTGGATCAAATAATATAAGCTTATAAAAATCTGTTTTATTTTTGGGTGATTTTCTAGTGAGTTTTCTATTTTATATCCCTACTAATGAGTTACATTGCTGGTCTGGTTTTTAACTGACAGAGTTGAGTGCCTTGCTATTTTGATAGGTGGGTACCCAATCATGTCATTGGGTACTGCTTGGGGAAACAGTTCTAGAGGAATATGGGGACCTCTTTAACCCTAGGAAGAAAGCTGCCCCAAACCAAATATCTCTAAATAAATAAAAACTTTGTCCAAGTAACAGTGTTTTTCACTGCTAATTCATTATTTGAAATCTTTGAATCATGGACTCTCAAGCTAAGAGGATACTTTCAAGGTTATATAATGTTGCCAGTCTTTGAACCCCTTACCTCCGTGTTTCCTACATTACCCCATTATCTGGACTCACTCAGTTTTTTTCATGAGAAGTCTGATTTCATATTTTGTGAGTACCATGTTGATTCTTTCAGAATTATTTTATGGTTCCCATTTCTTTGCTAATCTGCAATTTATGAAATAAAATCTGACTGTGGGAATATTTTCAATCATTGAATCTCCTTGCTATTCATTAGGCCCTTTCACCTAGAAAACTCATCTTTTGACCATTCTCCCCTCCCTCCTCTTTCCTGCCCTCTCTTGTTCTCTATTCTCTCTCTCTTAATCTCCTTTTAGAATGATGGTGCATCTGCATGCCTGATCCTTTATACCACTTTCAGTTTTGTCCTATGATTTTCATCTTTTTCTGTCTGTGCTTTCTTATGTTTGTAGACCTTCTTTTTTTAAAAATATTTTATTTTTTTTATTTATTTGAGAGAGAGAGAGAGAGTGCATGTGAACACAAGCAGGGAGAGGGGCAGAGGGAGAGGGAGAGAAAGAATCTCAAGCAGACTCCGTGCTGAGCTTGGAGTCCGATGTGGGGCTCAATCCCACAACCCTGAGATCATGACCTGAGCCCAAACCAAGAGTTGGACGCTGAACTGACTGAGCCACCCAGGTGTACCTTATGTTTGTGGATCTTATTCATTTGCTCTTCCAGTCCTGTATAAAATTTTTAAATTGGTGTTTATAGTTTGGTTTTCAGGAACTCTGTGTTATCCTTCCTTCCTTCCTTCCATCCATCCATCCATCCATCCATCCATCCATTTCTTTCATAATAGCATCCTGTTTTTGTGTTTTGGATGCCTGCCTTCTCAAATATCTCTTCCAAATATAGTACTTGAATTAATCATCATGGTTACTGTACTGAAGGTCACTTCCTTCCTCTGTATCTGCCAGCTATAATCTTGGTGACTCTCTTACGTTCCTTTTGGGAAAATGGTGTCCTTTTCCCCTGTAGCCTACTGCTATGCAGTCCATCATTTTAATTTATTCGTCAGTACAATTCCATCCATTCTTTGTTTTATAGATTTTCTTCAGAGTTGTTGGTATACTGATTACTCTTTTCCCAACTTTAGTGTTGTTACAGGTCTCTAGTCTTTCTGACATTTCAGGAATATTTTGAGAGGGAGAGAAGATAAGCACGGATGTTCATTTTATCATCTTGAACAGAAAGTTGATCTTCCTTCTCATAGTTTTCCACAGTTTTACTCTTCCATTTATCCCACCTTAATGACCTATCATCTTTGTTATTGCTTTTACTATTGTGGTCTAGTAATCCATGCCCTACTGAACTTGCTTGGCAATATGTCTCTTACCTTGTTCCTTTAAAAATAATTTTGTGATGGTATTTTATTAATGATAATGGTTCATATGTATTGAACTCTTACTATGAACAAGGCATAATTATATGTGCTTTGTGGGTATTAATTCAGTTACTCTTTATAATGACCCTCTGAGGTAGGTACTATTATTATCCCCATTTTACTGATGAGAAACTGAGGCAGAGAGAATTAGTAACTTTCCCAAGGTCACTCAGCTGATAAATAGCAGAGCCAGGATTTGATTTGAACCCAAGCATTCTACCCCAGAGCTAGTACTTTTAAGGATTATGCCACTTGCCAATTATTACAGAATCAGATTAAGATTTAGGAAACTTTAATACTAGAAAGACATGAGCTCCACCATTTGGCATTTTTGTCTTTGGCTTTAGACTGGGCACTATTAAGTACCTATGGTTAGGTATATCAGTTCAAGAAAATTAAGAATACAGTAGTCTAGAACTGAGGAGAGTTATGTAATCCTAATGTTTATAGGCTAAAGTCTAGGATTTCAGATCAAGTGAAGCTCAAAGTCCTGGGCAAGCCATGAATTCTAGTGAAGTCAGCCATATTAACAGGGAAAGTGGAATTGCCTGGCCTTATATCAATAAACCCCCACTGGAGAGTCATTCACTACAGGACGGATAGCCTAGAAGACTAGAAATCATTGTGAAGTATGGTGTGGATATCAAAAACTTTTTGTTTTCCTTTTAACATTATTGAACATTTTTAGACATGTTTATGCATCACCTTTCTTGAAACTGCAGATACAGGTTGTCAGAAATGCTGCTTTATTGGTGTATTATCTCAGGTAATTTCACTCTTTACAAACACCAATTTGCAGCAGACAGGCAATATGGCCCATTTCATTTGTTGACTTGAGAGATATTCAGGTGGAATAGCAGAAACCAATTATTTGAGGGGATTACCTTTATTGATTAGTAGTCTGTTTTCAATTCTTAGAGGCCCCTAAATATTATTTATTTTTAGCCCTTCCCCAAATAACCAAAAGATGGAAATAGCTATTGAAAAATATAAAAGAACACGATTTATGTTTCAGAAATCATCAGAGGAAATGTACTTAATATTATAGTCCACTTACTTCAAGTTGGATGAATTGTGGGAATTAACATTTTTCCAAACACTACTGGGGAGATCTCTGAGCAATTGATCACAGAAACATTCAAATCCTAGTGACAATTCCACTGCATCTGGTAGAAGTGATTGCAGTACTTATCAGTGCTAGTCCAAACTTCCGCTCCCACATGTACCTCCTTCCAGCTGACACACACCAAGAACACATCTGGGAATGCCAGTCAGGAAGCTTAGGGGGCAGGGCTCAAATTGTTTCAAAGCTACATTCTATCCCAGAAGTTTGCATGTAGTGTAGGTATATAGAATCTCACAGGAAGTCAATCAGTGGAATGTTCTACCATTCATAATGACAGCATCCAAAATAAAATATTTTCTCAGTGCCTCTGCTTACTCATTTGTAAAAAGGA